GGCCCAAGCCATGAATGTAGATCTCACTGCATGAATTCTGACCCCGAGCCCCTCCGTCCAGAAGCTTTTGGCAGTGGGCCAACTGGGCCTTAATGTCTTCATGTTGACATAAATGTCATTGGGCCTCTGGGGCAGGTGGTGGGGGACCCGCTTCCAAAGTGTATACTCCACCGGGTCCAGCTCAGCCTCGACGGCCCCGCGGGGCTCTCGGTTTTCTGCCATGCTGTATGCCACTCCCCAGTCCACAGTCCTCTTCCCGAGCACAGGGCCCGCTCCGGACCAAGCCACTCAAGCGAGGCGCCCACCCGCTCGGACTAAGCGCGCGGCACTGGACACGCAGGACCAAGGAAGAGAAAAAAAGCCACGCGCCGGAGGATCGCCAGACTGTGGCCGCCCTTATGGCTTGGGGATCCTGAAAGATAATAATTTTTTTAATGGAAAATAACCAGCATTGGCAAGGACATGGAGAAATAGTAACTCTTGCACATTGTGATAGGAATGTAAAATGAGGCAACTTCTGTGGAAAACAGTTCAGCCCAAAGGTGGAAACAACCCAAATATCCATCAATGGATGAACAGATAAACAAATTTGTATATACCTACCATGGAATATTATTCAGCCTTAAAAAGCAATGAAGTTGTGACCCAAATGAATGGCTGAGCCTCAAAAAATCACGCTAAGTGAACGAAGTCAGGCACAAAAGGCCCTATATGGTCCTGTATTGTAGGATTCCTTTTATGTGAAGTACCCCAAATAGACAAGCCGATAGATGCAGAACAGAGATTGCTAGAGAGTGAGAGAAAGGGGTAATAAGTGAGTGATTGCTTACAGTAGGAGGCATTTTCTGGGGTGATCAAGAATTTTTGAGGGGCACCTCAGTGGCTCAGTCAACTCCATCCAGCGGAAGCAGGGAGTGGGAGGAGCCTGGGTTAGTTTGCGGGACCCAGAACCCCGGGGTAGGAGGCTGGATGCTGCGGGGCCTGGTGGTGGTGGTGGTGCAGGGGAGGCCCAGAGGCTGGGGGACCAGGGCAGGACGGGCTCTGGCTGAGTCAGAGTGGCCTCCACTGCCATGATGGTTTCGCACAGACTTTGGCTGCAGGGTAAGGGCTAGGGTAGAGGGCGGGCTGAGGTCTCTCTCATCACCCCTTCTCCTTCCTGTCCTGCAGATGTTGAACCTCTTTGTGGCCGTGATCATGGACAATTTTGAGTACCTTACACGGGACTCTTCCATCCTAGGGCCTCACCACCTGGACGAGTTCATCCGGGTCTGGGCTGAGTACGACCCGGCCGCGTGGTGAGTGGCCCCCGTGCTCCGTGGTCCTCAGGGTGGTCCATGCCACGGATCTCGGGACAGGGCTGGGTGGCTTCAGACCTGTGTCATGTGACACAGGTTTTGTCCAACCCCCTCAGGTTTCGGCGGGGTCCGCAGAGGGTGGTGCCAGGTCCCCTTCTAGGTGGCACGCTCCTTCTCATGCCCACAGTGCTCTTACACAGCTCCCTGGGCTGAGAAATGCTCTGTGAGACCCTTAGTCCAGCGCTTAGGAGGTTCCAAGGGGTCTGTGAGGCTCAGGTCTCTTGCCAAATGGGAGTGTACTGTCTCCTCACAGGTCTGTCACATGAGGGGCGTGGAGGGCTCAAGGGAGAGGGTGTGGACACAGCAGGAGGGCCTTCCCTTGGGGCCTCACCATCCTCATGAAGCTTGGAGGCCTTCATGGCAGAAATGACATTCTTCCCGCCGATGGGCTCAGGCCTCTCCCTCTCTGCCGTCTCTTGGGAACAGGAGCCAACATGCACCTCTGTGTCCCCAGCCCGGCTGCAAATAGCGGGCGCTTGGTGAACTTTCACTGAAATTAAAGGAGCTACCAGGAAGGGTCTAGTATGTTGAAGACCCTTTGGTCATGGTGGGAAAGGGTTACTGTGTTGCATTAAGTGAGGGGTAGTTTGTTTCCAGACAGAGCAAGTATGTCATGAGGGGACTGGCTTGGGTTAGAAGGGTGTTCCGTGATCCATGGGAGAGTCCTGCACACCCAGGACACATACTCTTATCCTCGGGGCTAGCAAAGCAGCATGGACTCACCATCTGCCCATTTGTCTGTCCCTTCATCACTCGCTTCTTCATTTGCTTATTCATTCATTCACTCTCTCAAGCGGATACTTGAGTAGTTATTCAGGGCATGCTCTCTGCAAGGCCAACACAGGACATGGAGGGGCCAAGAGACCTGGCTGCTGGGGAAGGCACAGGCCTGCTCATCGCCTCGCTCATGGTGAGCGCTCAGCAGACATGAATGTGAATGAACAGTGCATCAGTAAACGGATGGGCATCCGTCCCTTCCCACGCTCGAAGGGAATGAGAAGACTGTGAAGATGGGGTGTAGCCACTTCCCACCTCCTCTCTCCGAGGCTCCCAGCCTGCCCGTGTCCCCCTCGCACAGCTCTGTGTTTGGTCACCCCTTGCGTGGTAGAGGCCTGGAGGAGATGGTCAGTGTCGTCGTGGGGAGGACCCTACTGCCCACAGTTTTTCCCTAAATTGGAGCTCAGCAAGGGGATTGCTCCAGAGCTCTCTGACCCTCAAGCCCCTGGGAGCTTGGCTGGGCTCCCCCACCCTCCTCTCATCCAGCCTTCCTGGAGCCCCTACCCCATCATGTGAGGATCCAGAAGATGCTGTATGAGACCCTTCCCAGGCTGGGCAAGTCCTGAAACCACTGGTAGCACCAGCAACCCTAGGGCATTTCCATTCCTGTAGTGTCTCTGGGTGTTTTCCATTGTAGTGAAAATGGAATAATTTTCACGCAGTGCAGAACAAGCATGGCTTTTATTTATGTTTCATGGTGTAGGTGACCGTTTTTGTGGCCTCAGAGAGTCCTGTCATTTTGCTGATGCGTCAGCACATCGGCCCTGCAGTGCCCAGTCTCATTCTGGCTCAGGGGTAGATGTGGGTTCTCTGGTCAGGAGAGCCCAGTCAGGTCAGAGAGCAGGAGAGACTCCAAGTGAGGCAGGCTTGAGGCTCATTCTAGGAGGGTCATCTGCACTGTGGTCTCAAGAGATGCTGCTGTTTCTGGGCACATTGTTTCCAGTATATGTGCTGCCGAAGGGAGCACTGGGCACGTTGTTTCTAAAGTGTGTGTTGCGGGGAAGCAAAGATGCTGTCTGGGCAGTATGTCCATATGTGCAGGACAAAGGCAAGTCAGTGCAGGCCTGTGAGAGGGGAGGACTTCCCCCAAATCTTTATGAACTGTAGACGCAGGGCTTCCCCTAGTCCAGCCACAGGTGGAGCAGATTTTGGACATACAGGAAATGGACTTGGGCCAGACTGTGATTTTGTGATGGTGCACTGGGGGCTCAGATTCTTTCCCAAATCCAGAATTCTGAAAATGGGGCCTCTGGAAGGCAGGGGCCACTGGGAGTGGGGTAAAGGAAGTGCTGTGGAAGAGTAGACAGCAAATAGAAGCGTCACCCCAGAGGTGGAATCTGTGAAATAGCACACAAGACCATGGTCCAAAAGTAGCAAAAATGTGACCCGCAACTGACACTCGGACTTGCTGCTCCCACATGTGGCCTAGGCTGAAAACATAGCCTGCCTCCAGATGGCAGGGGATAGGGCAAGGCCCAGCAGAGGCTGCTGAGGAGACTGAGTCCTGGGCACAGGACCGAGGGTGCTTTGAGCCCTTCCTGGCCTCCGTGGCAGATGTCGGGATGTTTTACGCTTTATATCCCAGGTGGCCACTCTGCTGTCTCCTCGTTCTTGGAGAGACTTAAAGAACAACAAAACTTTGTGAAATTTCCCAAGCTTTCATATGTGTGTATGGCTCTGTGGCTGTGTGCACAAGTGTACACACGTGTGCGTGTGGCATATGTGCACGGGTGTGTTTGTGTGCACAAGTGGCACGCGTACATGCATGTGTGCAGCAGACATGCATGTGTGCATGTGTGCACACGCACATGGTTTGTGTGTACGCATACGAGCATGCACAGGTGATTCTGCACATATGTGCATGGGTGTACATGCACATGGTTTGTGTGTACGCATATGAGCGTGCACACGTGATTGTGTGCAAATGTGAGTGCAGTGCATGTGTGCACTGTGTGTGCTTGTGTGGATGTGTGTGTGAATGTGCAGCAGACATACATGTGTACATGTGTGCACACGCACATGGTTTGTGTATATGCGTACACGCGTGCACACAAGATTGTGTGCAGATGTGTGAGCGCAGTGCATGTGTGCACGTGTGTGTGAATGCACGTGTGCATAGGTGTATACGGGCATACATGCTTGTGTGTGCACATGTGTGTGAACGCAGGTGTGCATGGGTATGTATGTGCACATGTGCGTGCACACATGCCTGCTGTGGGGAGATGAAGAAGGCGTGGGGTTGTTGCTTTCTGGTGCCGCCTTCTCCCATCTTCCCTGTTGCCTCACTTGGTGAAGGGTAGAGAGTCGAGAGGAGAATCACAATCACACCTGTAAGCGATCTGTCTACTCATCTTTGTGTTCATCCATCTGCCCAGTCAACATTCCTGAGCATCCGCCGTGTGCTGGGGACCAGGGGTGTGTAGGTGAAGCAAGCACGTGCTCTCGGGATGCGAGTCCAACGGGACTGTGGGAGAACAGAGGAGCCATAGTGTGAGCCCGGGGTGTTTGAGGAGGGAGAAACCCCATCTGGCCGGTGAGTCAGAGGAGGTGGCATTTGAGCCAAACTGAAGAGGGCAGGATGGATTGAGCTCTAGAGAAGAGGTTGGGGCCAGGGCTGAAGGGAAGGGGGTCTGATTGTGTCTGATGGAGAAGAGAACGCATTGCAAAGGGGTTGGAAGGGCAGGTGGGACAGGTTGAGAAGGTCTTGAAATTTGGGATAAACAAGGAGCTTTGACTTTGCTTTATAGACAGCGAGGACAGTATTTTGCATTGCAGTGACAGTATGGTGCCCCCACTTTCCATCTGGTGCCGTCTGAGGGATTCAATGGTGGAAGAGAAAAGATGAGCCAGAGAACAGGCTGTGAATTGGGTTGGGTGATTATTGGGGCTGGGGGCTTCAACATGCTTCCAGACCCTTCGTCATGATCCTATAGGTCCAGTGAGTTAGCAAGCACCTTGGGTGAGGCCAAAGTGGGGTTTCCTCTTTCTTCCCTCTTTT